TTTAGAGGTTGGCAAGAAATTGACATTCATCATTTTAATGAAATTTTGTGTGTTATTTATTTTTATTTATTTATTTTTTTTTTTCACAATCAGTCTTTATTGAGGTACCACTGCCCTGGAAGTTTAAGATAGAGATAGAGCAAGTAAGAGGTCTAACTCCAAAATAAAATAAAGAGATTTAACTCCTTCCTCTTTGAAGGATTCTGTTTAGTTGGGTACTTTGAAGTCCTTGGATGTTTATATACTTCTTCCAATCTCATCCTATTTTACATCTTACTTTCCTCCACAATTCTCAGGAATGCTTGGCTACATGTCTCCGAGAAAATTTGTTCCACTTAACAACAGTTGCTAGGTAGAATGTGGCTTTCAGACCTGTTCTTTGGGGACCAATTGAAAAACCAAAGGCTACAACCCATTTTCCCTTCACTCGATTGCCTTTGCTAGGCTCTGTGTATTATTTAGATAAAAAACTTAGAGAGGGGGATTAGATTGGAAGATGATAGGGTCCTTTTTCTCCTTAGTTTATGTTTCTTTTAGTTTGTAAATATTAGGACAAAGAATTTGATAACCAAACTGTGCCTTAGTTTCTACATGTGAAAATTGGACATGTCATTTATCTTATATGGGTGGTTTGAAGATAAATGAAGGTACATGGAAACCTCTGAAGTCTTGATGAGATAATATTGATAAATGTAAAGAATTACAGTGGTCATTGAGATTACAAATGAGAATTCTCCTTTCCAGGAGTACGTGAGGAAGACAGAGAAAACCACTGCATTTTATTGATGATTTCACAGGACTTACTCATGAGATGCTGAGAAATCGAACACTTCAGGGAAAGGGACATTCATTAACCATTTGGTTGCTTTAAGTTTTAAAGTCACACATGAGTGGGTGAAGGAGAAGTTTTATTCCGAGTGCTTTCACAATCCAGTGGGTTTATTATATCTGAAAAGCTATAGGATCAGGCTGTCGACTTCTGCTTTTCTTCCCTGCTGTAAAAATGTTTGTGTACTTACGTTTTATCACCACTTAGATTCTTCAGGGTAATGAGAGCTGGGAAAGAACACCTGGTCCCCCTCTTGAGTCTTTCTGTTATATTTCCCATCCCCATCGTTAGCTCAGCTTGGAGGGCCGCGCTGCATATAGTGGCTCTTCTTTGTTCCATCATTGAAAGCCCCAAAGAACAAGTTTACCGGACAAAACTATGGCTCAGAAGTTAAAAGTAAAATTTTCTTATTTCTTGTTTTCTCACACTGTGCTTTGTACCATACCACACACATCTTTGCTCCTACACACCCAGACCCAGGAGGCAGGAAGAGAAACCAAAGAACAGGGTGATATTTGACTCCTGTCTCAGGCTTGATACCTGCCCAAGAGGCTGCTGGTGTCTGACCTACCGTCAGGTAGCCTGCTCTATCCATTATTTTAGGGCAAGAATCACCACCATCTGGTTTTCTCTTCTGCTGCACATTTCCTCTTTTCTGTCCTGTTCTTCAGGGGCGAATTTGTCTGTCTTTCATGAATGGAAGTGTCTCCCAAAACTTGGAGGCTACATCCAAATCAAAAGAACGTCTAGTTTTGGTACATCACCACTTAATTTGAAAAAAATTTGTTTTAGCACTGTGTTTTTCTTTTAGAAAAATTTTATTTTATTTTAAATATTTTTATTGATTTTTAGAGAGAGAGGAAGGGAGAAGGATAGAGAGATAGAAACATCAATGAGAGAGAATCATCATGGATTGGCTGCCTCCTGCATGCCCACCACCGGGGATCGAGTCTGCAATGCAGGCATGTGCCTTGACCGGGAATTGAACCACCAAGCCACACCAGCCAGGCTAAATTTTATTTTTTAATTACAGTTTGCATTCAGTATTATTATGTATAGCATGTATAGCATGGTGGTTAGGCAATCATACACTTTATAGATTCCCCCGATATTTCCAGTACCCACCTGGCACCATACGTAGTTATTACAACACTATCGACTATATTCCCTATGCTGTACTTGACATCCCCCTGACTATTTTGTAACTGCCAACTTGTGCTTCTTAATCCTTTCACTGTTAATTTAGCTTCTTGACCACAAATCTTAGACATTGAGTCTGTAGCTGTTATCTTCATTCATTTAAGATGTAGTGATCGAATCAGAGTACTTCCAGTTCTGATCATTCCCAGGGACAGTACGTCCTGGGCAAATGAATCTGGGTAAATTAGCCCAGAGGTAATTGGAGGGCACACTGAGAAAGATCTCAAGGAAGGAAAGGCAAATGCCAAACACTAGTGCTCTCTGAAACTAACCGCCATAATTCTGATTTTATTTGAGCATTCTGTGCTCATAAAAAGCAACCTATTTTCTTGAAGGTATAATTCACAGTGGACATTTTAATATGCAAAAACCTCCCTGCTGGAAAGTTACAAACATTAATCAAAATGCAATCTTAAGCCTTTCACAGTAATGTAACAGAAGAGCAGGAAAGCACCAAACAAAAGGTACGACATTTATTTTTACAAAAGCAATAAACATGACATGGGTAATATAAACTTCGTTCATCTATGTCCTACTTTTGAGATCTGTTGCTGTCTAAAATATTAGTTTCATATGTCTAGTTCCTTTCCTCTGTAATGTAATTATTTTTTTTAAATGTTTGGGTTGGCACCTTTTGTATTTCAAGATTAGCATTGTGCCTGAATCCAGAACCAAATAATTTGCTTATTACTTGCGATTACCCATAAAAGCCCTTGCAGAGTACACTATCATTACATCGGAAGTGTATAATTGAGTAACTGAACCTTAAAACAGCTGAGACCTGGAAACATGTTAACTTTTATAACAAACTAAGTATAAGCTGTTTTTGCATAAAACCTACTGACATAGTTGCTATCAAAGTGTTGAGGACACGTCAGAGATACTGTTCTAAAGTCACCACAAGAAAGCACATTTTTCATACAACTTAGAATCATATTTGAACCTAAGTCATGATAACTGTGTGACGTATATATATGATAGACCTAATCCGTCACTTTTCCTGATCATGATTTTTATTCATATAAATATTTTCTTTAATATTTTCTTTCATAATATTTTTTGGTCACACAAACAAAATCTACTTGTGTTATATAGTTTCTGATCTCTTGGTTTTAGTCTGGCCTCCCTGTGTTTACAAATACATGTTTTTGTGGTGAGTCACCACAGATCATGTGGGAAGCAAGAAGAGTTTAATTAAAATAAATAAGATTATATGACTGTAATCATCAACCTTCAAGAAATTAAAGTATTGATGACTCAGCTGCAATTAAATTAGGGAGGACTGATATGTCAGTCACAGACAGCATCCTGTTTGAAAATTGTTTTTCTCTGTTTAAAACAACACCGTCAAACTAAAGAAGGAACACATTGATCAACCATCCCTCCTCCCACACTCTCCATCTTCAAACTTATTTTCTTCCTAAGGAAAAATTCACAGAAACATTATCTGGATTTTTAAAAATCCCAAATCCTTCATATAAATATCTTAGTCATGTTATTGGAGATAAAACCCATACTTAATTAGAATTTATCAGACACTTGTTATATCTGGCCCTCCCACAGTTATTTTTAAGAGAGCAAAATGGGACTCACATCTGACCTCCCACCATAGTTAGAGAAATTGTAGCTAAAATGCTGACTTGGGCAGCTGACTTTGTACTGCTCACCTCACAAAGCAGGGTCTGGAAACAGTTCTGATTTAACCTCATTGTACTAATTACTGTAAGCTCCTTGCATGAGTAGGATAATAATTGCTACACTAATTGTTGCCCAGAAAGTGGAATAACTGCAATGAAGTTGTTCTAAGTGTTTGCATGTGTGCTGATATTTAAGAGATTAATCTGAAGTTAATCAGTGTCCATTTTTCAATTAGTACATAAGGATGTATACTAGTCTATTATTAGGCATATATATTTAACTAATTAGTCTGTTAAGATGGAAATAATACTCCAGGCGCACAAAAGTACTTGATTATGATGATATGCAGTCTTTGTAACATATGTATAGAAAGACAAGGGAACATTGGTATCTATCCTATTAAGATGGAAATAATGCTCCAGGCGCACAAAAGTACTTGATTATGATTATTGATATGCAGTCTTTGTAACGTATGTATAGAAAGACAAGGGAACATTGGTATCTATCCTTTAGCTTAACATTATCCTTGAATTACTGTCTGAGAGCTATTTTTTTCCATTTTCTAATTCAGTCTCTCTTTTTTTTAATTTTTAATGTTGACATTAGTATAGGAGTCCCTCCTTCCTCCCTCCCTTTGCCCACCTCCACTCTCCCCCAACTCCCCTTTCCTAGGCCTTTACCAAATTATTGTCCGTGTCCATGGGGTATGCATATATATTCATTAGCTATTTCCTTCACCTTTATCCAGTCACCCACCCCCTTCATCAACTAAACTAGAGTCTTCTGAATTGAGATGTTGTATTTTATAAGAGCTGTAGATTCTCTTCAGAGCCTAAGTCATGCTATACACAGATAGACAAATCTATTTAAGAACCACCTGGATTTCATTTTATAGTCATCATACAAAAATAAACCTTTGCTCAGTTAGCTGGAATGTCTCTTTTTAAAAAATAACTTTAAACAGCAATAATCGGAGGCATATTATCTCTTCATGTATTGTCAACTGCTCCAAAATTGTTGGCCATAGTTACCTGGTATCGGGAACATAAAGTTAAATTCATTTCAATATAACTTTAATCCATTGCAATTCCTGAAGAGATAGATTTCATGCAAATGAAATAACAGATTGCAGACCTGGATATATTCTGATTTTTCAAGTAGAAATACTTTCAAATGAGCTTTCTCACCCAGTGAGCTAATTTTAATTTGTTGATCATATTTCAAGCAGAAAGTGAACATTCATCTGGGAATAGTAACAATCCTTTTATTGTGTTGAGTAGATTGAATCAGACAATGCAGTGTCATTTATAACGTCTCATCATGTTTTCCATAGGTGGATAAGCGGACCAGCTGTAGTCAATGCATTTTATTCTTCAGGCAGAAATCAAATAGGTAAGATCTATTCCTAAATAATGCTTTATTATTCCTTTATTGTTTTCAACCTGTAGTGAATTGCATGACTAGTTTGTAATACTACCCATAAAAGTATAGCTGAGCCGAGTTACTGATTTATTGAATATACTCTGAAAGTAAATTTATTTATGTATCTCTTTTCATGATAGTTGCAAATTTTAAATCAGTACAAATCATATTAAGTAGTTTTTTAAAGCAATACTCTCATTTTTAGGTAAATGGTTTATTTCTAATTAAGAAGTTATCGGCATTTTCTTTTGTATTTTTTATGGTTTTTATTTTTTGAGTTAATCTTTAACCCAGCTGGAATTTACTTTGGTATGTGACATGCAAATGATGGATAATCAGAAAAGTTTGTTTTTATATAACATGTAGATAATAAGTAAGGCATGTGCACCACGTTAAAATCAATTAGCTCAAAGTCTTTTCTGGGCTCATACACATCCCAGCTAGTGGAATGATTACCTAAACTCAGACCAGAGCCTGTTTAATGATCAACTCGGAACCTGTTTATCCTTTGTAATGTGGTCCTAGAAACCACTGAAACCTTTTCTTAGAAGTGCTTTTATTGCTAAAGAGTCTTTACTTTGAAGTCCTCTTTTTTTAAAAAACTATATATTTTATTGATTTCAGAGAGGAAAGGAGAGAGAGAGAGTGAGAGAAACATCAATGATGAGATAGAATCATTGATTGCCTGCCTCCTGCACACCCCACTCAGGATGGACCCCACAGCCCAGGCATGTGCCCTGAATGGGAATGAACCGTGACCTCCTGGTTCATAGGCCAATGCTCAACTGCCTGCCTCCTGCACACCCCACTCTGGGGATGGACCCCACAGCCCAGGCATGTGCCCTAAATGGGAATGACCCGTGACCTCCTGGTTCATAGGCCAATGCTCAACCACTGAGCCATGCCAGCCGGGCATGAAGACCTCTTTTTGATGCTCAGTAATTCTGTCAGTGTAACATCTAGTTCATTCTAGACTTGGACTTAAATGGGATAAATAACCTTTAATGGAATCCCAAGGCAAAGTAAGGCAGCCTGGATTTTGGTTCTGTGTTAGGGCAGACTAAGGGATATAGCTTCATTTTAATCCAACTCAGGAAGGGCCCTGGATCCTCTCAGACCTAGTGCTGAGCCAGGCCAACGAGAAGAGCCAGTCAGACCCTCCATAAGACCTCGCTGGTCTTCAGCTCTCCTCTAGAGCAGGTCCACATAGGTCACGCCCAGACAGATCCTTGTTTGGCTCTGAGTTACCCCATATTTATGGAGCTGGCTCAAAATTGCTCCACGTCAAAGATTCTCTTATCAGAGAAGACTTGGGAATGTTCCCATTTTGTATTTAATGCCCTCAAACCAAACAAGCACACAGCTAAAAGAAAATGAGGGTAAAAGTGGCCTAACATTTCACAAAGTAGACCATTAACCTCTGAATAACCAAGAATTGGCTGCAATACCCATTCTTAATATATAAGAAAGACATTTTTTAAGATTCTTAAGATAAATTCATCCGAAGGAAATACCAAATTTAAAAAAATTGTTAACTTCTTTTCATACGCTTGTCTGCTAATAATAGCAGTTCAGAGAAAGGGAAAGTGTCATTTGAGAGGAGAAATCTTTGATATGAAACGTTTTCTCTTTTGACAATTCATTGAAATCTTCAAAGTGAGGATTGTCTTAACTAAAAATAATTGAAGGTCCTGATCTCCCTCTTACTTCTTGATAAAAGTGTGTGTGTGTGTGTGTGTGTGTGTGTGTGTGTGTGTGTATACATACACAAATATATAATGTTTGCAACATTGTCTTCATGGATTTGGTATCATGTGCATTATAGAATTAGAATTGGTATAAAATAACATGTGTGTCATAGATGACCCTTCCACCTTCACACAAATACCCCAATTAAATTGCATACAATATCGCATGGGATTGTTTTTGTTATGTTATGGTTAAAAAAATAGCATGTTTTCCTATCATACAGGGAGTTATTCATTGTAATAATTTCTCCTTTTTCAGTTGCTACCTTTTGTCATAATTTATACATGTAGGCTACATTCCAATTTTTATGCACCCCACCAATTCACATCAACTAAAAAATAGTCATCTTCCATGGCAGCAAAGTACACTGAAAGTATTTAATTCACTCACTGGTTTCTATTCCTTGTATATTTGCTCCATGGAGCTCTGGAAACCTTTCCTGCTGTCAAATATTTCCCTATAAGTTCTAGGCATTATTCAATCATCTTATTAAACCTTAAAATCTCATCCAAGGAAATGATCACATCAGAAGGGAATACTTACTTCTTCTGCTGCATTCTCCTTTTTCATTAACATCCAAAATTTTTTTAAACTTTAGGAAATCTGTAGATTATTTATATTTAGTTTGTCCAGCCTGGATGGTCCATGACTATCTTGAGATAAGAAAGTTTTCTAAAGTTGTCTCATTCATTCTTAGGAGTCTTATTTTCAGACTTGAAAATTAAGAGTAAATATTTCCAAATATTTGATATAAAAAGAATTTAATTTTTATACCAAAAATTGATGTTACCTAATTATAATCATGAACTTTATATCAAAGATTGTAAAATTGAATTGTTTGCAGCCTTAAAAACGTGAACCAGGGAAGTGAGGGGGAGGGAGCAGGGAGAAGCCTAGTCTTTTGTTTCATGGACTAATGACTTATTTAATTAACTAGCTTGTTGACATCCATAAAATATGCACAACTAAGCAGTTGGTTATTATGAAGAGTTGTGAAGTCTCCTAGTAAGAGTGATAAGGCTAATGGCAAAAAGCCTCATCATAGAGGTTTAGCTGACAGAGAAAAAGGAGAAATCATCTTTGCAAAGCTGAACTTGAAGACTAGTATTTAATAGGAGCCATAAAAATCTTATCACTCGCCTGAAGAATGGCATATTAGGGTATAATTAAAGCAGCAGGATCTTTACAGATAACATTTAGTCTTGCTAGCACGTTTCATAAGAGCATTTATATAATGGGTGGATTTTAATCAGAGTACATAGTGTGGGAGATAATGTTCACTTTCAGTTAATAAAGTACCACACATAATTTTTATACTTTAAGCTAAAAGTTATTTCTTGGCACTGTTGATAGCTTAGGCAGCCACATATGAGGTATAACTTTCATCAAAATTCACCAAGGACAAAAGTATTTTTGTTGTTGTTATTTGGTCATTTTGAATGCTATAGCAACTTTACAGATTTTTTTTTAGATGTCTGGGGAGCACTTAGATTGCCCAGTGTATTTTAAAAGTCTCTGTAAATATCTAATTTTTAGCCCTGAAACACATGCAAACCTATGTTATATCCACCCCAATATTTGCTACTTGGTGTTGACTAGATATTAAATTTTTTAAGGTCAGGGCACTTCTTATATGCTCCTGGTATCCCACATAGCGATGGCCCGTGGCTTTGCAAGCAAATAGATATTATACTAATGATATTTTTTGTTCCAGAACATAATGTTTCAGTTATTCAGTGGATACTAGAGTTTTCAAACATGAAAAATAAAGTTACTAAATTATGAGCACTGTGAACTAAAGGGAGTTGCATGAGGGAGGCGGGTGTTTCCTTAGAGAGTTGTAAGCCGTTCAAGTTTTTTTAGCAGGGAAGTGGTAATGAGTCAAGTTGCACTTCAATCTGCTGCAGGATAGATTAGATTTAGGATACATTATAGGTGGGTGAGATAGGAAGTGGTAGGAGCAATTAGGAAATTAATTCTAAGGCAAGGAAATTCTAAGGCAAGGAATGAGACTGTGAACGAGGATGGTGTGGGTAAGGCTGATAGGAGGCGAAAAACAGAAGAGCCGCTTCTAGAAGGGAGGTGGATGATCCATTCTTTTCTTTTCTTTTTTATTGATTTCAGAGAGGAAGGGAGAGGAAGAGAGAGATAGAAACATCAACGATGAGAGAGAATCATCGATTGGCTGCCTCCAGCACATCCCCTACTAGGGATCGAGCTTGCAACCTGGACATATGCCCTAACTGGGAATCGAATCAGTGACCTCTTGGTTCCTGGGTTGATGATCATCTGCTGAGCCATACCCAGCTGGGCTGCATGATCCATTCTTTTTTATTTTTTATTTTTTATGATCCATTCTTTTACTAAGTAGACTGCGTACGACTTTGTTAAAGAAAGGAGGCATCTGAGATAAGCAGAAAATGTTCACTTTAGGTGACTTGAGACCCCTCAAATGCCATGAATAGAAATAATAAAGTCAAAAGAGTGATGGCTTACAGGGGAAAATGAGGAGTTTGATGTTTGACACATGAAATTTAAACAATAAGACATCTAACTGTAGAAAGTTAACAAGTTAATGTAGATGTCAGAGTAGACCCATAAAATTGTTATTTACTAAAGTCTTTAGGACACCGTAGTAAATTTATTTATTCACTTATTTATTACTGGAGGCCTGCTGCACGAATTTGTGCATGGGTGGGGTCCCTTGGCCTGGCCGGTGAGATTGGGGCTGATCAGGGTCATCTCCCCCAGTCCCACCCAGTCCCCATTGGGGCCATCAGGGCTGGCCAGCCGAGGGGAGGGACCGAGGGAGGTTGGCCAGCCGCTGGAGGTTGGCTGTGGGAGCGCACTGACCACCAGGGGGCAGCTCCTGCATTAAGTGTCTGCCCCCTGGTGGTCATTGCACGTCATAGCGACTGGTTGACCGGTCGTAATGGTCACTTAGGCTTTTATATATATAGAAGGCTATTAATTTGTTTAACACCTTTTCTAAGCACCTAGAATGTTCCAGGCACTATTCTTGTTTTAAGTGCTGGAGATCGTGAACTGAAAAAAGCTCAACTCAAAAACACACATAAATCTCTGCTCTCCAAGGGCTAATAGTTGAGGTGTTGGGGGGTAAGAGGTGGGCCAGTAAAGAAAAAGAACAACAATCATAAAGGAAATATACAGTCATAGATTTCTTGATGAAAGTAAAATACAGGTATGCGATTTGAGATACCTTCCATTGAGAGGCTCTATTTATTTAGTAAGCCATTAAAGTTGGGTAAAATGTTAGAGCTAACATTAAAAATAATACTTGTGATATTAAGTAACTATTTCCCCCAAATATTTACAGTGGGGAAAAGAGCTTCTGATTGAAGATGATAATTACCCCTTGCTCTAAACTCCTTTTGGCAGAAAACAATCTTACTAAGACTGTCAAGTAGATTATGGTTCTAAATCACAGATTAATGGTGTCACTCTGGGATGAACTCTTTGTTATCATCAATAATAAAAGGCTTATCGCTTCTCGGCCTTTTGGCTAAGATCAAGTGTAGTATCTGTTCTTATCAGTTTAATAATAAAAGGCTTGCATGTGTTTCTATCACAAAAGATTTTTGTATGTAATTAAATGAAACGGGACATACTAGAAAACAGTTAAGCAGGCAAGAAGCCAACTCCAGGCCTGCAATCCCAAAATAAAGCCACAAGTAATCCTTAACCATCTTCTTTCCTTGTAGTCTTCCCGGCTGGCATCCTGCAGCCCCCCTTCTTCAGCGCCCAGCAGTCTAAATCGTTGAACTACGGGGGCATCGGCATGGTCATAGGACATGAAATTACCCACGGCTTCGATGACAGTGGTAAAGTACACTTGACATTCCTTTGGCAGAGATATAGCCTCAGAAACCTGATTAAGAGCTATTATAATTTAGCAATACAAAAATAACATTCATCCATGTATCACTGGCTTAATAATCACCACACTGTTAGTGTTCCTTTCAAATTGTTGCTTAAGAAGATCAGAAATTTCTAGTAGTGAGGTAAGCCCTGACGGAATAAAGCAAATATTCACATTGAGAAAACACTGATGATAAATTTAGTCTTATTTTATGAGTTTTTATGTCTTAGTTCTCCAGACTTCCAGAGGGCAAGGTCCACATCTTAAAATGAGATATAAAAAATTAAACGTTAAGGTGCCCGTAAGCCTAAGAGTCTTAAACTGCTTGTGATGTGTGACTTCTTTTTTTTTCTTTCATCTTAACCTACTACCTAGTTTAGGCCTTGCAAACAGTGGGCACTTAAATATTTACATAATGCAAAATGGTTTTTTGATTGGCAAAATAGATTTAGAGTTTCAGTGAAACTGAAAAGAAAAGTAGTAAAGTCAGGAGATATGTAAAGAGGTGATAGTTGAAGCTATGCCAAATATCAGTTTGCAAGGAGAAAGAAAATAGAAAGAGAACAATAAAGAGAAAATAATTACACCTTAACTAGACCTTTAGAGATCCAGAGAAAGAAAAGGAGATGTGAAGGGCACAATTTTGAAAAGGACTCACTAAATGTCTATTAACTCAATGAGCTATACAGTAGTCTTCACAGGTAGATACTAATACTATTTCCATTTATTAATGGGGAAAAAATAGAGACACATAAAAGACTCACTTAAAGTCACAAAGCTAGAAATTAGTGGAATGAGGATGTGAGTTCAGCTAGTTTGTCTTCATAGCCATTTTCTTACTACATCATGGATGACTATTAAAAAGATGATAATAAAACTCAGTGTCAAATCAAATGACATCGATAAATATACCTCACAAAAGGAAAAGATCGATGTATTTAGGGTTAGCAGGAAAGCTCCAGGAGGAAAGGTGACTTTTGCTTTGTACTTGAAGTAGAGGGAAACTGAGTCCACCATATGTTACGAGAGTTTGAGGTATGAAATGAATGCCAGAATGAAAATATTGACCTTTTAAAAATCTCAAAATACCAAATGAAACAGGCATGGTTTCAGTAGAAACCATCTAACAGATATAAGGCATTGTTTCAGAAATGTTTATCTGGCAGCCTCAGCTGAGATCTTAAGAGCCAGGTCGGTGAACTATCTGAATTAATACTAAGGCACATCAGCAAACAAAATCCTGGCAGTCCAGATGTCATCAACTCTGAATGAGAAAGAATAACAGTTCCTCTCATTATGTGTTCAATTTAATGTCCTCTCACACAGTGGTATTTCAGTTCTGGCACTTAGAATGAAAAATATCTTATTGTAATTTTTGATGTAATGAATTCTCATTGTACTTGAATAAATATATTCTAGGCAGAAATTTTAACAAGGATGGAGACCTTGTTGATTGGTGGACACAACAGTCTGCAAATAATTTCAAAGACCAATCCGAATGCATGGTGTACCAGTACGGAAACTTCTCCTGGGACCTAGCAGGTGGACAGCATGTATGTCATCAGCATTCTCTTGAAAAGTTTTAGATATATCAAATCTTAAGTGAATTACTGATGCTTTTTAACAATCAGAATGTAGTTAAGGGTCTTATTTTTTGTTTTTAACAGATCAATGGAATTAATACCCTGGGAGAAAACATTGCTGATAATGGAGGTATTGGCCAAGCATACAGAGTGAGTAATAATATTTTTCCCATTTTAGTGGTTGGAGTGTATATTTATCATATTCATTCGTTCACTCACTCATTCAAAGCCTTTTGCAAAAGACACATAATGTAAGCAACAAAAGATTAAAATGGAAAATGTAAGGAGAAAGGGGATGGTAAATATGCTAACCAGCAGGGGCAATGCAGTTGCAATTGAGCTGAACACACGAAGCTGAGAAGAAGAAACATGGAGCATTATATCAACAGAAATAAGGAGATAGGCAAGTCCACAGAGGAGGTAACCTTTCTCTAAGAAATAATCTCTGAAATAAATTTATGACAAAAGAGGCCTCATAAAAAGAATTATTTCAGAATCATTGATCCATGTACCAAACAGGACCTTCAGTTTCACAACAAGTGAAGAAGTGTTGAGGAACTATAATCAGCATAAACCACAGTTCATTTACAATGATACCCTGAAGGACTAAGTGATACGGTTTCAGCATGTGGCCTTTTAGTCATCCAAACTACTATGGCCAGAGAAGTTTATCACAAAGAGTTCCTTAGATTCTCATTTAGCCTTCCATTAACTCATGCATTCAACAAATACTCAATGAGGGCTTTACTCTGTGTTTGGCACTATTCTCAGTGCTAAAGATAAAGCTGTGAACCCTCCCTAAATGATATCATTACTTGGTCATTTAAACAAGGATTGAAGGAGGATGCACAAGAAAAAGCAGGGATTTGCACAAAGAGTGGAGGAATACTGGTCTTGAAAGCAACAATGAGGAGCGAGGGTAATGTTGAGTGTTTCTTCCAACCCTGAGGTAGCCCAGGTGTGGGAGAAGGAGCAAAGTCTACTTGACAAGGTGTCCCCATGATAAGGTGAATCGAATGTTCCATGGAGTGGATGAGGATGTAAGGTTATTTGTTCAACATAAACCACAGTTCATTTATAAATGAACTGTGGGTTAAGGAAGAGGAGGAGAGGCTCAGTAGTTGGATCAGGAAAGAAGAGGAAGCATCAGAACTATGTGGGAGAGAGGACAGTGGGGCCTGTGACTTGACAGTGAATATGGATGGATTATCAGAGTGTGAGACTTGGGAGATTACACTGACAGCAAAGTTTCCTAAAGGACGAATCCCCGTCAAGTCCTGGGAGATGGTAAATTGCTGCTGCTTTGAATGCTTGGTAGTTTTTCTTTTACTGGATGCAAGACATTGGGCATTTTACATCTTTGAGAGCTGAATATTTTTGCTTTCCTATATTTTTTAGCTTTATTCTAAGACCCAGTTAAATTCCTCAGAAATGGTCTGGTGGTCCTGTTGGGTCTTGGTTCTATAACTTGTTAAGTGGGACTAGGGAATTGCTCGGAAATTCCTCAGAAATGGTCTGGTGTTCCTGTTGGGTCTTGGTTCTATAACTTGTTAAGTGGGACTAGGGAATTGCTCGGTCTAAAGACGATTATTCTCCACTGCTGAGGCAAGACCCTACTGGGTGAATCTTGAGGTCTTTCATTTTTGTTAGGTGTGCATACCAGACGTTTTTATCTCTAATCCTTGGCCATGGTTCCTTCACTAGCATTGAGTAGTTTGCTCACATGCATACCCACATACTCAGGTGAATATTCGAAAGGGCCATCTGATCGCTTGAGATCCTCTATCCATGCAGGAGAGGCTCAGTAGTTGGATCAGGAAAGAAGAGGAAGCATCAGAACTATGTGGGAGAGAGGACAGTGGGGCCTGTGACTTGACAGTGAATATGGATGGATTATCAGAGTGTGAGACTTGGGAGATTACACTGACAGCAAAGTTTCCTAAAGGACGAATCCCCGTCAAGTCCTGGGAGATGGTAAATTGCTGCTGCTTTGAATGCTTGGTAGTTTTTCTTTTACTGGATGCAAGACATTGGGCATTTTACATCTTTGAGAGCTGAATATTTTTGCTTTCCTATATTTTTTAGCTTTATTCTAAGACCCAGTTAAATTCCTCAGAAATGGTCTGGTGGTCCTGTTGGGTCTTGGTTCTATAACTTGTTAAGTGGGACTAGGGAATTGCTCGGTCTAAAGACGATTATTCTTCACTGCTGAGGCAAGACCCTACTGTGTGAATCTTGAGGTCTTTCATTTTTGTTAGGTGTGCACACCAGACGTTTTTATCTCTAATCCTTGGCCATGGTTCCTTCACTAGCATTGAGTAGTTTGCTCACATGCATACCCACATACTCAGGTGAATATTCGAAAGGGCCATCTGATCGCTTGAGATCCTCTATCCATGCAGTGTTCTCTTCTTCAGTGCCCTGTCCTTGGTATCCCTGAACTTTTTGTCCTCAACTCTAGGAGTCCCTTGGACTCTGATGGGTTTTCCTTTCTCTATGTTGTAGCCTGGAAACACTGAAGGCAATAAGCTGGGGCGATCACAGGGCTCATCTTATTTGTTCACCATCTCAGAGAGATTACTCCCCCTTTTCCCAGTGTCCAGTGTAATGCAAGCCATTGTTTAATATGTTTTTTCCATCATTTGGTTGTTTTAGTGGGAGTGTGGTTTACCCCGTCCCTGTCACTCCATCTTGCCTGGAAGAGGAAGGCATCGGTACTCTTAATACTCCTGTAGTTATTCTTATATACTGCTAGATTAAGAATCACTGATTTAAAAATCCAGTCAAAGTCTGTTTACCCCATCCCTGTCACTCCATCTTGCCTCTTAATACTCCTGTAGTTATTCTTATATACTGCCAGATTAAGAATCACTGATTTAAAAATCCAGTCAAAGTCTGGGCTGATGGTACTTCCATGGAGATGCCCATCTAGAATAAGTACAGAATTATAATGCAGCAAAATAAATTTGTGCAAATATTTTATTATGCACAAAATTATAATGTCTAATGCTCTGTCCCCTACTAGATTGTGAACTCCCTAAGAAAGAGCAGTCTCGAGTATTCCCCATTTACCCAGCATTTTTACTTAGTAGAGACTCAATAAATCTATGATAATGGCAAATAGAAAGAAATGAAATATATTTTCTGCTTATCTAATTGGTCACTTTCCTTTGTAATAAATTGGAAATGACTCATCTCAAAAATGTAGTTGTCAATTCCTTTCTTAAAGTATATTTAAGTAGAAGAACACTACATTTTTCAAGTGTCCATAAATCCTCTTGACTTGAGATCACTTTTTGACATTCAAATAACCTAAATTCCTTTTTCCTAATGTAACTGAAGTTCACTTTGTTTTGTCTTGTCTTCAAGGAGCCAAAATAATTGCTCATTCTTATTTTTAGAGTCATAGGATATTAGGCCTCTAATGGATCTTAAGAGAATCCCTTAACTTTTGGCAAGAATCACCCAAACAAAGTCTGCTATGAGTATATTTTGCTAAGAGTAGTAACTAAGCTAAATATAGCAATTACAGACTCTCTTGGCAATTCATTCTTCCAACTAGCTGGACTTATCCATCTATCAGTAGAACAACATTTACATAAGCTTTTCATTGCTTATTTAAGTCATCCATTGATAACTGACATTTGTTGGTCATTTGATGTGTGCTGAACTCTTCTCATTTGTTAATCATTATCCTGTTTTTTCAAAGCATTTGTAAATGAATTCTAGTTTTCTTTCTAATCCATGAAATAGTTGTAGGTTGCCATATCTAAGTATATAATGATGATTCTGATACAAAAAGTTAATTACCTGTTACATGGTCTTTTGCATAGATTTATATATAAATTTGTAAATGCTAAACATCATGTTTCTGTTTCACTAACTGCCTAGGCCTATCAAAATTATGTTAAAAAGAATGGCGAAGAAAAATTACTTCCTGGACTTGACCTAAATCACAAACAACTCTTCTTTTTGAACTTTGCTCAGGTATGCTACCATTCTTGATTGATAGATATGAAAATCATTTTGAGTTATAATTTTATAGTAAGTTAAATAATGCATGCTGAGTTTTCTTGATTTAATCAATTGTGGCAGATCGTTTGACTTGACGAAATTTTATTGTGTATAACAGACTGTCAGAGTATATCAATGATAATTATGCTCCTGGTTGCCTATGCTCCTGGTTGCCTATCATTGAACAGTATTTAAAGAGTAAATGGTTGAGGAATGCAGAATTCCAATTTAATTTTTGCAGTAGGAAGTTTGCTTTTTTCTCAGCCTGCCCAAACAAGTAACTAGTATCCTTGATTAAACTTAAGCACAACATTTCCTTCTTATATTCCTATCCTAGGTGTGGTGTGGGACCTACAGGCCAGAGTATGCAGTCAACTCCATTAAAACAGATGTCCACAGTCCAGGCAATTTCAGGTATGTGGATTTGAACAGCAGCCAAGGTGCTCTAATATTGGCTCCATTAGTTCTGAGTTTGGGAATTGGCCTTTTCTAATTCTGACTCTGTAAAATTTGGAAATCCAGTGTTGTTGTTTTCTTCTCTTTTGAGGGTTACAGATAGGATCAACAGAGCAGATCAGGTAAATGTCATGTTTACACAAGCATAGCCTTCACTGCTCTCTTCCTCAGAATATACGTGACCTAGGTTCAGTGCTTGATGAATTCCAATAAAGATGTCACCTCAGAACAGTGGCTCTATTTAAAGGTAGCACAAGACATTTCTAAACGGCTGTAAAAGGTTTAGGCTTAGGACCCATGAGTAGCTATGCCAAAGAAAGATTTTCGTTCAGCATAAAGGGAAACTTTCCAGTAATTAGAGCTTGTACGTCATGGAATAAAGTTATCTCCAAAGCTCCAGGAGAGAGTACCTTGAAGCAGAGGTCCGAGAACAACCTGTCAAGGATGATGGATTAAAATGCCCTGCATGGTGGAAGAATGAGTTAGAAGATATCTAAAACCCTTCTCAAATCAGAAAATCTTTGAGAACATTGGATTGAAAGAGAATCACTCTAACCAGCATTTGAATGTTAAAGCCTAGATCCCTATCTAGCTGTTTTAGGACTAAATATCTAATGCTACCCGCTCCACAGGGACTTCAACCCTTCTGATCAGCAACAACTTTTCTCAGGCAAGACTATCTGAAAAGTAAATTTAAAATTTTGTAGGGTGATTGGGAAACAGAGTCTGAAAACAAAAGGGAACTAATGGGCTGAATTTCAAAAGCACTTCCTAAATAAACATGAGCACAGTGCCCATATCATTCACTCCTAGGGAAAGACCCTATCCAAATATAAAACAATAAAATACCACATTTAAAAACTCGTGTTGTTCTAGTATGATCATTAGCAGCAGCAGCAGCATTTATATTTGCCTTAACATTTCTTTCAAAATTCATTCACTCAACAACTGTTTATTGTATGTTCGTTTTGTGTATAATCCAAGCTAAATTTAGTCTTGCTAAAATATTCAAATAAACTGCTTTTTAGGTAACCAGCAACAAAAGTCACTGGATCAATTGACATTATGTTTTATCCAAGTAACTTTTAGCTTCCCATTGGCTAATCAGGGCGATATGCAAATAAACTGCCAAGAAAGATGGCAGTTAACCACCAACAAAGATGGAGGTTAATTTGCATATGTAGGCGCCAAGCGACGGAGCGAAGCCGGCTGGCCCTGGGCAGGAGCAGTGAGCGAAGGCCGGCGTAGCGAGTGAAGAGCAAAGAGGGGGGCCCGCCAGCCCAAGCACGCAGGGCCGGGGGCTTAGCTAAGGCTTAGCGCATACTCCCTGGTGGCCCCACAGCAGGGCATCCTGGCAGCCTCCTGACAAGAGGGCGGCCTGGAGAGCCGAGTGGGGCAGGGGCTGCAGGGAGCCATGGAGGGGCAGGGCAGCCTGAACCAAGTTCCCAGGGGTTTGAGGAGAGTGCTTGACAGGAGCCCAGACTGCAAAGAAGGAAGAGGAAGCAGCCACAGGGAGCTCTTCCAATCCCCCTGCATGGACACCCTACCCCAGCCCCCACACCCCCGGAGGCTGACCAGACAGGGAGAAGTCCCAGCCTTGGGGGTAGCTGCAGCCTGTATCTCCGACTCCCAATCTCTTCCCCTGCCACCCCC